ATTTCTAGTGATTTCATTATATCTGATACTGCTGATAGTAATAATAGCGACAATAAGCCCTTCTTCTAACAATTAAAATCATTTTTAAAAATAAAGAAAAACATAAAAACACAGTCAAACATGAAACTATTTATATTGTGTACAAACAAAAGGAGTTTTTTTTAGTTGAGAAATAATTTGAGGGTAAGTGAAACCATAGACTCTTCAAGGAACACTGCTTGGAGGAATGGAATTGAGGGCCATATTTATGCACAGAATTTTAAATAGGTGGCAGCTTTATTGTTGGTAATACATTTGAAGCTAATACAGAAGTGTGTGTGTGTGTGTGTGTGTGCGTGTGTGTGTGTGTGTGCGCGTGTGTGTGTGTGCGTGTGTGCATGCATATATAGCTAGAGAGATTGAAATGTATCTGACATTTCTCCACCACATTTTTCTGTGTCAGTGGGAGTTTTATAAAATGTCTATGCATAATTATCAACATATGATAAANATCTTTAATGGTTCCTCTTTTTTTCTACAATCATGAGGAGAAAGTGGAAGGCATTTAGATGCAGTCTCTTACATGCAGAGTAAGAGAAATTTTATAATTCTCTTGCTTGATTCCTAGTTACATTCGTCCCAAGGAATTTTTTTAAACTATTATGGAATTTATGAATCATTTCTATTTGAGCAAATTTTAAACACAAAAGACAGAAACAAAATCAACTTTAAAAGAAAGGAAATAGACTTTTCCAAAATATCATGTAGGCAATCAGTGTGAATAATTTTAAAATAATGTCGATCTACACTAGGGACTCTAAATCATTCCAAACCACACACCTCCCTTAGAGTCCTATAAACCTACATTCGGTTCAGGTAGGATAGTCCTAGCAAAATAATCGAATCTCAAAGCTTCTCCTTCCTCAATTATTAAATGAGAATATTCATTTCTATTTCTCAGAGAGTTTTTGAAGATTAATGATATGAAGAAGATATAGCAATTAATATCATACCTGCCACATAATTTAAAAAAATGGTAATTAGTTCATTTAAATTCATAACATAGGATAATCAATTTGACTGATATGTAGAGTTAGGATGGTTCTGTACGTATCAACAAATTAAATACAGCAAGTTTTTCTGGCTCTTTTGCCAGTTTTGAGGATTGAGGGGGGTGGAGGGGATGAATGAGTGTAATAACGATATACCTCAATCTTGTGGTAACTTATTTAGGGACAAATTAAAATAATGTAACAATCTCACACAAAACATGATCTGTGATCTTTAATATCATCCAACACATCTATTTTACACATGAAATAACCGGCTTATATAAAGTATTACTTAAAATATTAATGTAGCTTTTTGGTGTAATTTTTCATTTTTCTTTGTTACAGAATTTATTCTGATTACCTATGACCTTGATGACAATTGAGCAACAAGTTATTTT